CAACCCCCGCGGCGGCTGCAGCATCCGCCTCTGCAGCGGCAACTCCCGGCGGTGAAGCCACGGCGTGAGTATCCGGGCCGTACCGGCTGTGCGCCCTGAGTCTGCAGGGGGTTCGGCTGGGCTGGGGGTCGGGACACTTGGCCCCTAGGTACTGGCGCTCGCGGGCTGGGGTTTGCACGCTCCTTCACGTCGCCCCTCCCCGTACCCCTAATACGCGGGGGACCCTGTTTGGCCCTATTCGGCCCTATTTGGTAGCAGGAGGAGCGCTTTCCTCTGGGTGGTTGGTAGACCCTTGGTGCAAAAGATTGGCTGAAATACACCCAGACGTAGCTTTCTAATGAAAATATTTACTTTAGCCAAAGAGGAGCTGGATGTACATCACAGCAGCAGCTCTAGGGCGAGTACAGGAAGCGATCTTTGTATTTGCGTACTTGGTAGTGGAACTGCAAGAGGTATGCACGTGTGTCAAATTACCAACAGGTGAGTTTTTACCCACCTTAGGCTCCGTGTTATATTTTTGTGCATTTATAACTTGTTTTATTGTTTTCTTCTGATTTTTTTCTTGTAGAAGTAACCCAGTTCAGTGCAATGTCGCATAAAAATCCACTTTTACAACTTTGGGGGGAGGTTGAAAGTGAGTCATCAGGTGATTCTGCCACTGATGATGACTGGGATCATGTGAGCCAGAGAAGTTTCGACAGTGAGACGGAACAAGAAATGACAGATAGAGAAGCAGAGACTGAAGGTCTTGATTCAGATGAGGAAGGCCAACATTTGACGAGTCGAAATGGTACGAAATGGTCACACGTACCCGAACAGTCCGACGATAGAATCAGTTCAGAAAACGTTATCAGGTTCTTGCCAGGGGTGAAACCTATTGCACAGAATGCCAACACTGCGATTCAGTGCTGGAAATTGTTTGTAACGGACGTTATGCTACAAGATATTGTGAAATACACTAATAATGAAATTCAACTAAAACGTTCCATATGCAGCAATAGTAGTACTGAAAAATATACTTATCACGACACCTCCCTATCTGAACTAAAAGCCTTCATAGGTCTGCTGTATATAGCAGGACTTTATAATCGTGAGAATCTAAAGGATTTGTGGAGAACTGATGGGTGTGGCGTTAAGATTTTTAGAACAACAATGACACTCCAGAGATTCTGTTTCCTTCGAAATTGCCTACGTTTTGATGACAAAAAGACCCGCCAAGAAAGAAAAAACTCTGACAATTTGGCTGCTATTCGCTCATTTTTTGAAAGCTTCGTTTTGAACTGTCAGGCAATTTATACACCATCTGAATACATGACAATTGATGAACAACTTGCATCATTTCGTGGTCGATGTAGTTTTCGGCAGTATATGCCAAATAAGCCTTCTAAATATGGTATAAAAATATATGCCCTGGTAGATGCGAAAACATTTTACACCATGAATTTAGAAATTTATCCTGGAACTCAGCCACCAGGGCTTTATTCGTGCAGTAATAAACCATACGATGTTGTGAATCGACTTGTTGCACCTATTTCCAAAAGTAACCGAAATGTCACATTTGACAGTTGGTTCACTAGTTACTCATTGATGTTGCATCTGCTACAAGAACATCAGTTGACCAGCACAGGGACTATTCACAAGAACCAAGCAGAGATTCCTGAAAAAATGTTGCAAGTTCACAATAGAGAAATGTATAGTACAATCTTTGGATTTCAGAAAGACGTAACGTTGGCCTCTTACATAGCGAAGAAAAACAAAGTAGTATTGATACTGTCCACGTTACACCATGATGATAAGATCGATAGTGAGTCCTCAACACGAATGAAGCCAGAAATTGTCACATTTTACAACAAAACAAAGTGCGGAGTAGATGTTGTTGATGAGCTATGCAGTGAGTATGATGTCTCTCGAAATACAAAGCGTTGGCCAATGGTTGTGTTTTACTTGATCCTAAACATGTCAGGCATAAATAGTATCATAGTTTACAAAGAAAACAACAAGTGCAAGATATCACAGAGAGATTTTCTTAGAGAATTGGGACTGGAATTGATAAAAGATCAATTACAACAGTGGAAGAACATTATGTATCTGCCCAAAGATTGCAAGAGAATCCTGGAGCAGACCAATGAACAAACAGGTGAAACATCACAAGAACCTCCTAGCCAAGCAGCAAGACCAGCAAGATGTCAAGTGTGTCCTACAAAAAAAGACAGGAAAACAAAACGCACGTGCTATCGCTGTAAGCGATACTTGTGTATGGGACATGCTGTTCGTGTGTGTGAAGACTGCCTTAGGTGCCATAATTCAAGTAAAGATAATTTTTCTTGTTGAATTGTATTTTCGTTTTAGTTCATGTAGGAGTTTATTTCTGTTACTCTTAGATTTTTGTAAGCAAAGACCAGTTGATGTTGAAAATGCTGATGAGGGGCCCAGAGATTTAGCTTAGTGGTGCCACCATCTGCCTTGCAAGCACAAGGCCCCTAGTTCAATCCCTGGTACCCCGCCCCCCACAAATGCTGATGTTTATATTATAAACACTGAAAATTAATATTTTAAGCTCCTAATAGAAGAGCAATATCAGGGGGCTGGGGATTTAGCTCAGTAGTTCTGCTGCCTGCCTCGCAAATGCAGGGTCCCGAGTTCAATCCCCAGTACCAAAAAAAAAAAAAAAGTCAGAGATGCTACTCTCCTTGCCACAGAAGAGCAATACCAGCAAGATATAAAAACATGTGCTATCACTGTAATACTTCTGTATGGAACATGCTGTTTTCAGGAGTGAAGACTGCCTTAGGTGTGATAATGGAAGTAAAGATTTTTGTTGTAGAGTTTATTTATTTATTTATTGGTACTAGGGATCAAACTCAGAAACTTGCGTTTTTGAGGCTGGCTTGGCAACACTGAGCTAAATCCCCAGCCCACAGAGTTTTATTATTATTTTCATTTTAGTTCATATAAGGATTAACTTCTGTCTTTTTTACATTTTATAAAGTTGATAGTAAAAATGTCAATGTTTATTATAAACTCAATAAATATTAAAAAAATTCAAGCCAGGGATGTAGCCTAGTGGCACTGCACCTGCCTGGCAAGTGCTAGGTCCTGAGTTCGATCTCTGGTACTGGAAAAAAAAAAAATCACAAAAACTCAATATTTTATTGGTATTTTATTTTCCTGTTAAGTATACATTTTATAATAACATCATAATATTAATTGAAATATAAATTAATAAATACTTTTTAAAAATAAATATGGGTGTTAGATATCCACCTTACACTCCTTTTCAGGAAAGTTAACTTTATGCAAAAATTAAGAGGGAGGCATCTCTCTCTGGGGCAGTGATTTCCAGCTCCACGCCTGGCTCTCGGCCCAGCACAGCCCTGCTCTGGTTACAGCCAAGTCCTCCGTGACTCCAGCAGCAGCGGTGGGCTGGACCGAGCAATGTCTTCTCATCCACTAGCAATTTCCCTCCACCTCGGGGTGAGACGCATTTACCGAAGCTCTCCATTGTTCAAGGGGTCCAGCTTTGCCAAGGAAGGAAATGGGCCTGGTGAGACACAGACTTCTCTGTCTGATGAGAGGCTTGGGCTGCCCTTTCCTGCTGCCCCGCTGAAACAAGTGCCCACCGCCCCCAGACCAAACCGAGCAGAGGCAACACAGTGGGCTTCTGTCCCCTCTCACGGGCCTCGCGTCTTCTCTCACTTCCCAGCAAAATCACTGTCCCCTCCCTTGACCTCCTACTCCTCCTCATCCCCTGGCTTCTGTCCCACGTCTCACTGCACCAGCCGGCCACCCAGCAGCTACTAAATGGGAAGGAGAGTGGCAAACTGGTTCTTGGGACTTCATATGCCAGCCCCTTTCTCCCTCCTACCCTCTCTTCTGACTCTTCCTTCCCACTGTCCTTTGCTTCTTTGGCCTTAGATTTCAGTGTCTCCAGGACGACTCCTTCTTATCTACTTTGTGTGCCCTTGTTCTGAATTCATTGGCCCTACCCATGGTTTAGAGCTCTAGACCCAAGCTCAGCTCCTGCTCTTGCCACTTAAGGCTTCCCTCCCTCCCTCCCTTTGTTTCTGGTACTGGGGATAGAACTTGGAACCTTGAGCTTGTGAGGCACGTGGCAGTACCACTGAGCTAAATCCCAGGCCCTTCAGGCTTCATTTTGTTTTGTTTTTGTTTATATTTGTGTGTGTGTTTCCAAAATATTTGTGTTTTTGAGAAAGGGTCTTGCTATATAGTTCAGACTGTCTTGAACTCACTATGTAGCTAAGACTGGCCGTTTGAACGTGGGGCGATCCTGCCTCAGCCTCCCAAGTGCTGGGGTTATAGACATGTGCTACCATGCCCAGTGAGTATGTACTTCTTTATCTCTGCCTAATAAAATCTGTCTATGTCTCTTATTAATCTGTCCTGAAATTCTTTTCTTGTGACAACAGTCAAGCACCTTCTAGGTGGGCCTGCTAGATGAGGACCTCATCTCTTTGGGAAAACTCCAGAGCCCACACGGTGACATGATCACACTTTCCTCTCTGCAGTCACCTCCCTGGTCTCAGCACTATCCTCTCTGGCCTGAGGTGTGGCACAGCCTCTTGCCTGACCTCCCTGCTTAGACCCTGGTTCCCATGGTTACTCCAGCCAGACACATCCTGTCACTAGGGAAGTCAGGTGCCCCTGTTACTCGTGGCCTGGTCAAAGGCCTGGATCTGGGCCCCTGCTTTCTGGGATTGTTTGCCTGCTTAACAGCCACAGACAGTATGAGAAAAACCCATAAAACAAGCCAAGTTGTGATGGCACATGCTTGTAAGCCCAGCATTCAGGAGGTTGAGGCAGAAGGACCAGTTCAAAGTCAGCCTTGGCTACATAGTTGAAGGCCAGCCTGAGATACAAAGCCAGATCCTGTCTCAAGAAAAAACAAGACAACCCCACAAAACATGGAGAATGAGTTTACTTATAATTTGGTCAAATTGGGAGGGCAGCTAGTCAGTACCTTCTCTGCTTGGAGGGCCAGAAAGCACTCCAATTGTGGGACAGTGAGACAGCTCAGCGTTACAGCTAAGTGTTACAGCTCTGTATTCAGATATAGCAATTTGAAGACAGGGGAGTCTGAAAATTACTCCAAGACGCGAAGAAAACCGAACTTTACTAGCCCTGGCCTAGAGGAGTTTAAGCACTCAGAATTCTAGGCCCCAAGCTGTAATGAGAATGAATTTATACACAGTTGGGGAAAGGAAGATAAAGGAACCTTTTAGGGCGGAGACATAGCAAGAAGCTCCAACCTCTCAGGGTGGAGTAAACAAAACATTCCTGAAACCTTAGGTAGAAACACCCAGTACATACAAACAGTTACACTGAACAGAACACTTGGACACATTGGGCAGGAACATCTCCAGTACAAAGTTATATTTCTTGAACAGAACATTTCATGGCAAATACATGGGGAAGGGGTCAAGGGCAAAGGACTGCTCTGTTGTGCGTTATTCTGTATCATGATCCATAGGCAGGGTTGAACAGCCATTAAATTTTTATATGGAGATTTAGCTAAGCTTTGGGCCAGAGGACTGGGGGGAGGAGAGGTTTATACTTTCAGCATGAGGAAACTGGAGTTTATGTTTAAACTAAAATCTTAATTTTTTCCCCCTGTACTTGAACCTACGGCTTTTGCACTGAGCCATATCTCTCACTTTTTTTAAATTAAAAAAAATTTTTTTTTTTGGAGATAGGGTCTTGCTATGTAATTCAGGCTGAGGGCTGGGGGCTCAGTGGCATCACATCTGCCTCCCAAGTACAAGGTCCTGAGTTAGATCCCTGGTGGGGTGGGGGCGAAGGTTGGAGACTATGGGTCAAGGTTACCAAGACAAGAATTTAAAAGTTAATGAAGGGCCAGGGATTTAGCTCAGTGGTTCCACCACCTGCCACAGAAGGACTAGAGTTCAACCTACGGTACCAAAAAAAAAAAAAAAAAAAAAAAAAAAAAAAAAAAAAAAAAAAAAAAAAAAGTTAATAAAATTAGGCTCTGCCCTTAGCTTATGTAGGCTGTCTTTTGAACTCACTATGTAGCCCAGGTTAGCCTCAGAATTTGCAGTAGTTATCCTGCCAAATGCTGGGATTACAGGCATGCACCACCATGCCCAGCTTGTTTTGTTTTTGTTTGTTTGTTTGTTTGTTTTAAGTTTGAGTTAGAGACTTGCTAAATTGCTTGACCAGGCTGGGCCTGAACTTACAATCCTCTTGCCTCTGCCTTCCAGAGTGCTGAGATGGTAAGTGTGCACCACCATGCCTGATTTTAGAAACTTAATTTTTAAAGATCATTTTAACCACTCAGGTTACAGCACTGCTCCTGAGCTGTAGAAGTTGTCCCTGATGAGGGCCTGACTTGCTCTCTCTGCTGCTTCAGAACCAAAATACTCTTCCCAGGAAAACTGTCCCTTTATCAAACAGGCCTCACTGCAGGTCCATATAAAAGCACCAGATGCTGTCACTTGGTCCTGTCACCTATTCCTTCTGGCTTCTAAGCCCTTGGTCATTCTCTTGCGCTGTCTACAGCAGCGGCTTGCACTTTAGAGACCCAAGATTTGTGCCCTAACAAAGGCATGGACGAGTTCTCTGTGAGTGTCACCTACCTCCTACTGGAGACCATTTAGTCTTCACAGCACCCAGGAACAGGGAAGGTTAGGAAGTGTGGAAAAGAGCCGCTGTCCACTGTCTGGACTCCAAAGTCCCAGGCATCGCTGGCTTGACTGAGCCAGACCCCAAGGGTTGGGGTAGGGTTGTTTCAGATTTCCTGGAGACATTGCCCCATCCTCAAATCTAATGAGACAGGGAAGCAAATGGATAATGAGCAATGCTTGGCATATTACAGGTCCAATAAATAGGTTTTGCTGTTGATAGGGTTAAGAGACATGGGGTCACAGACATACGTGGGGCTCAAAGGAAGAGCCTAAACGTGTTGGAGAGTGAGGAAGGGGCTGAAATGGGCCTCTGGCGGGGACATCTGGGGTAGACCTCGAGGGAAGGGTAGGAGCCTGCTGGGAACCAAGGGGCCTCAGGAATGCAACAGCGTGGAGGAACGAAAATGTCAAAGTGGACTTGCAAAGGCTGTGAAAGCAAGAATTTTCTCTGGTCCCACAAGACGTCAGCAGACAGGGCAGGGGTCCGGGCACTGCCCCGACATGCCGGGGACTGGCGGCTGGTGCACTAGGAGGGAAGGCGAGAAGGCCCATCCGATCCTCTCTGCTCCCTCGGGACCCCCAGGTGCCCAGTCAGACCTCGGCCCCACACCCCTCAGCCGGCGGGCTCCACAGCCCCGCCCTAGTGACGTCTCGCCAGGAGGCCTGGTAACGTTGGTGGGCGGAGCCCGGTCGAGGGGCGGGGCCCGATGAAGCTTCCGGCGGGAGGGAGGTTGAGGACGATAAGATCGGAAGTTTTTCCGCCTCCGTTCGCCTCCGTGCTCCTTTCAGTCCCGCCCTCTGCTATGTGCACAAGGTCACGTCCCGGAAGTAAAGGGGCCATGTTGATGGGTGACCCCGAGAGAGGCACTGGGCGAGAGGCGAACCCAGAGGAGTGGTAGTGCGCGCAGCCCGAAGGTGAGTGAGGGGAATGAGGCTGGGGGCCGGGGGTCGGGGTCTTGAGCGTCTTCCCTAAGGGCCGCTCCTGGCGCCCTCCATCAGGCCAGGGCTCTGGCTGTCTGCCTGCGCCAGGGCTCCCTTGGGCCGGTCCTGCGCTTTTCCCTGGAGGCTCTTCGGGTCCCAGCCCTGGCCTGGGGGTCGCCGCACCCGCTCGATCCCGTCCCCCAGGGTCTGGGAAGGCACTTTGGGGCGGCCGGGTCCCGCTGCCCATCGCCTAGCGACGTAGTAGCAACAGCCTTCCTGTGTCAGTCGCTTTCTACCTCATCAAACACCTTTGTTGGTTTTCTGCTTCCCTGTTCATGGGAAGCCTTTAGGGACGGAGACGTAGGTAGCCCGAGCTCGGGCAGGAAGTTAGCATGGCCGGAGACAGCGGCGCGTTGGCTTTGGGCTCAAGGGTCAGATCCTTTTTCTCCAAATACCTGTCCCATTCAACTCATTTCTTTATTTACGAAGGTGTGTGTGTGTGTGTGTGTGTGTGTGTGTGTGTGTGTGTGTGTGATCCTTTCTTCCTCAAAGGGCCATTGTGAGTTTTCCCTCTTTCACTCAGCAGCTTTGAGCCCCAGCTACGTGCCAGGCATGTTGCTGGGAAAGTTTCTGGGACGCCCAGAAGTGCTGCACTCTTGGGAAGGCCGCAGCACACGGTCACTCACATACAGTGTATGCAGAGTTGGGGTCCTGAGCACCCCTCACACACTCACATACCTTTACAGCTGTGTGCCTGTCCCCAAGTTACTTCTGCAGGCTTCCATTTCCTCCACTTGGGGCTAATGATGACACTGGGGTTGTTGATAGAGTGAGTTGTTAGTGGGATATGCTTAGAACATTCCTGGTAGTGAGTAAACCCTCAATAAGCGATCACTGTTACTATCATAACACTGTTACCTCATCATAGGTTCTTAGTTAAAATGTAATTGATGGCGAAGCACTTTACAGATGATGACATTTGTGCTTGTGTAAGGGCTTATTGTTACTGAAGAAAGGCAGTGGCAGTTTGTGTATAACTAAATGTGATATTTATTGAGTGTTTACAAACCTGGCTAGGTGGCCCTAATGATAGCTTTCCTTGATAGAGTACTCAGTATGTGCCAAGTGCTTTTCCTAACTCTTAATGCCCAGACCAACCATTTGGGCAAAATATAATTTAGTCTCATTGCACAATGGAGGAAGTGAGCCAAGCACAGAGAGGTTAGGAAACTTGCCCAGGGTAATGCTGCTCATGAGAGCCGTGGTGCTAGTATTCGAATATGGCTGAGTTCTTGACTTCAGCCACTCTGGACTATACTTTGTGATGAAGTTCTATTATGGGTGCTTTACAGGTGGGAAGTTCTCAAAATCGTAGTTGCTGTTACATGTAGTATCATTATTTCCATTTTATAAGTGAGGAAGCTAATGCTCGAGATTAGGAACTTTACCCAGAGCCATCAGGCAAGTAAGTGACACAGACAGGATTCCAGTCTGGCAAACCAAGCTTCCAAGCCCTGGTGAGCTGTAACCTGTACTTTGGGAGGAGGGAGTGTTGGAAGGACTAGTCCTACAGTGAAGTGAAAGTGTAACCCTGGAAGTCTGAATACTGCACTAGACGCCCCTGACCTGTACATTCTCTGCAGACCCTGATGTCATTCTTATTCTTGACTTGTACATTTTCTCTTCTGTGTAGAGTGTGACGCCAGCCCCCGCCCGTCCCCCATGGCCCCGTGGAGCCGAGAGGCAGTGCTGAGTCTCTACCGGGCTCTGCTGCGCCAGGGCCGAGAGCTTCGCTACACTGATCGAGACTTCTACTTTGCCTCTGTCCGCCGTGAGTTCCGGAAGAATCAGAGGCTAGAGGATCCCCAGGCCCGGGAGAAGCAGCTAGAGAAAGGCCTGGTCTTCCTCCACAGCAAACTGGGGGGGCTTGTTTAGGATCCTCTCCTTTATTCTTGTACCCTGACTGCAAGGAGGTGCCTTCTGTGGACACTCCTGCTCTCTCCCACTCCCACCTTCCCGATGTATTAAGAAGCCTCAGGTAAGCAGGCCCTTCTTTTCATAGGCATCACTTTTTTTTGTGATGCAGGGAAAACCAGGAAAGGGAGAACCTTTTATTTATTTATTTCCATTTGTATCTGGTTTATTGGTACTTTTTAAGTATATAGTACAGTTACAGTCATTGGGATCTTGTACCTTTACATAACAGATCTTAGGGAGAATCTTTTAGTTACCAGCATCCTTCCTTTAGTTTCCTCAGTGGAGGAAATCAGACATATTAGAAGTGAGACCTTTTGTGGGGAAAAAAATAGGCCCTGAGTATAAGGCCCCAACAAAACAAATTAGTGTCACCATCTTATAGAACATTTTATATATGAAAATGTTAGAAAACTATTGGTTAAAGCCATTAGAATTCAATTTCAAGCCAGCTCATTCTTTAGTAGATTCAGGTATGTGTACTTGTTTGTGGGTCAGATCATGTTCCCTAAAACATAACTATGTTTTGTGTGGCGGTCCAGCCGTCACAACACGAACGTACCTGAGTTGGGGAGTGAGGATTGAGAAAGGACAGCGCACTCGATAGTGTGGGAGACAAGAGGTCCCGTTTATTTCACAGAAACAGCTCTTTTTTAAAAGGCCCCCAACAGGAAGCATCAAGCAACTATATAGGGAGATCAGATCTTTGGCTATCCTGAGTTCCTCCCATCACAAGGTCAAATTTAACAAAGTCCTTGAGCTGGGTGTGGTGGTGCACGCCTGTAATCCCATAAAACCAGCCTGGATTATACAGTGAGTTCCAGGTCAACACCGATAATCCCATCTGCACTGCTGAGACCCTTGTCTCAGAAACGCCAAATAAACAAACAGATAGAGTCATGGATTAAGAAGTTACTTTTCCAATGTCAAATGCCAGCGGGCTCCCACAGTTTTGTTATAACATAGTCCACAAGTAAGCATAGTGTATGGATTTCAGAATCTAGTGCTTGGGTTCAAATCCTGGCACTGCTACTGATAGCCATGGGAATGAGGGTAAGTCACTAAACCTTTCCAGGCCTTCGCTTTCCCATTTGTGAGATACATGTAATAGTAGCTGCCTTCTTGGGTTCTGATGAGAATTCAGTGAGATGGTGAGTGCACACACAGACTGGGGATAGTTCTTGGCAAGGGGTAGGCTAGTTCTATTTACTCTGGATGCTGGTGTCAGCAAGAAGTCTCACTGCAGCATGATGACTATATTTAATTCAGCAGCCTTCCTGGAGGGCCTCGTATGGGCCTGGCATTCTGGTAGGCTCTAGAGATAGAGATGAACGATGTGTCCATTAGGGAACTCAGTCTTACAATGATATCAATGGGAAGTAATCCCCATATGAGCAGCTCTATGCTAGGAGGTTGTGTAGAGAGCTGTGGGGGCAGAAAGGAAGACCTAGGGTTTTATGGTAAGAGAGGATCATAGTTGGCTGTAAAAAAGAGGACATTTGAGATCTATCTCAGATCAGAAATAGCTCTCTGGACAAGGGGAAAAAGATAAACAAATGCCTGGAGGTGGAAACTGCATTTTGTCGTCTGGAAACCTGGCGTTGCTAGAATGGAGCACCTGTAAGGCAAGTGACGACTTGAGGCTGGACAAGGTCTGGAAAGACTGTCCTAGCTTTGTAAGAAGGGAATGGCATGGCCGCATTTGTGCCTTAGAGCATACCAAGGTGCTGTGGGAAGTACACAAGAAGAGAGGCAGTGAATCTGGGCAGTTGGATCCAGGGACTGGGATGGTGAGGGTGGTTGCATGTAAAATCCAACATGTATAGGAGTGAAGGGCTTGGTGGCCACTTGGCTGAGGCAGAAGGTGAGAGGGTAAAGGGTCGTTGCGGTGGTTGCCCCAAGGGCAGAGGGTGCTGTTTTGGATTGAGATGGAGGAGCCTTCTGTCATGGCTTTTGGTTCTCCCTGGTCAGTTTCACTGATTGGCAGACCTGCCTTTGGCAGTACAAAGCCAGGGACAGTATGATGCCTGTGGGAACCTGTCTGCCCCGGACAGTAGCGCGCCTCAAAAAGAAGCTGTTATTGAAATCTTTGTATACCTAATCTTTGCAACTGTGAGTTGCTATATCTTGCCATCACCGTCCACTAAACAAATCAAATGCCATAGAGAAAATAATTCATTCACACAACGGCTGTTTACTGTGTCAAGCATTGATCCCGGGAGATGTAGCAGTGAGTGCACCACAATGCATTCAGTGGGGAAAAGGAATTTTAAAAGCTTGTGGTCCAGTAGTTACTAGAGGGAGGGCAGGTGAGGTGAAGCTGTAGGCTGTGCCGGGACTCCTCTGCCTAGGTTCAAATCCTGGCTGCACAGTTGATGGATGTGGTAAGTTACTGAGGGCCGCTCATTTAATATCTTCATTGCCTTTATCTTTAAACTGGAGATCACAATATTACCGACCTCATGGGAGTGTCGTGGTGAAGATGAGAGAGTATGTCAGATGTCCACCACAAGGGGGTCCTTTTCCTGCCCATCATGAAGGGCCATGGCCAGCACTCCTCTAAGAAGACAGGTTAACGAGAAAAGAGCCACAGATTTATTGATTTAATAACAAGTGTAAGTGCCTGGAAGCCCTTAGAAATGAAGACCCATCAACCCAGGGTAGATTACTTGTTTTATTCTTCAGTGCAAGGAATTAAAAACAGTCGTGAAGAAATATGATTGGACAGAGAGGAATCTAACTGTAATAGACTGAGAGGAGAAGCCCAGCAGGGCCTGTTGTTCTTCTTGGCTTCTCAGTTGTAGCACTTCTTCCCGCCAGATGTGGATCAGGATGCTTTCTGTGGGAGTCCTAGGACCTACAACTTGGGATCCCTTCTCAGCCTTCCAGAGTCTTGGGATTACAGGTGTGCACTGACACACTGCTACCGTCTTGAGCATTTTTTTTTTGGGACCTTCCTACTTGTGGGGCAGGCCCTGGTGCCACTGCTAAATCCCTGGCCCTATTTTAAGCAATTTTAAGTGTACAATTCAGTTCTGTCTGGTATAATCACATTGTGGAATGGATCTCCAGAACTTTTTTTACTTGGGAGATCTGAAACTTTATCTGTTAAATAATTGTGGTCCTCTCTCTCTCTTTTTAATGTTTTTATTTTTGAGGCAGACTGGCCTCAGGCTCCTGAGTGCTGGGATTATAGGTGTGTACCACTGAGAACAGTAAGTGGTTCTTCTTGTTGCCCTGAGCATCCAGCCCCCTCCCTCCTTAAGCAGTGGTGTTTTTGTCTTCTCCATATGTCGCAGGCCACAGGCCAGTGCAGCAGAGCCTGAGAGCTGGGCATGCTGTGGTTGGGGGGCAGATTCCAGTGAACAGGTTCGATTAAGTTTTAGAATAAGGACAGTCTCCCTGTTGGAGCTTGTGGATGCTCTGTCGAGGTTCCTGGGTCTGTGACACCACCTGGCCCTTCGATGGTGTGGGAGTGTAGCACTACAGTAGGAAGAACCTTTATCAAGCCTGCCCTGCTCTACTTACATAGTTCTGATTTCAAGCCCAGGAGAGCTTTGTTTGTAGTGTTGCAGGGGCCTTTTGAGTTCTGTCCCTAAAGGTGCTGTGTAGCTCAAAGAACAGTCTAGGTTGCCGACTGCCTTCTGAAAGCTGGTCTTTTGACTAGCTGAGGGACATTTGAGAGGACTTAATGATAGCCCTCACTTGGGGAGCATGTTTACAGTTTATAAAGTGTTTGCTTATAGTGTCTTGGTAGATGTTGTTTCCTCACCACAACCCTACCATTATCCCCTTTTCATAGTTGAAGGGATAAACAACCCATTTGAGGTCACCCAGCTAATTAGCCAGGGCTCAAGACAACTCAATCTCAGGACTTCCGACTCTAAAGCTCATCTCTCTCCTTTTGCGCTGCGGCACCACCTTCAGGTGGAGGCACGACTGAGCTAAATCCACCTTGTTCTTCACACTGTCCCAGAAGGGCCCAGGAGGCCCCTTCTACCTTTTGCTTGGAGGAACAGGTGCTCTTCTGATCCTGCTGCATCATTCAAGAATGATTTAAAGATCGCTGCACACAGTGGTTTTTCCTGTTGTAAATGCATCAGCAAAAGTGGTTTTGTTTTTTCAGTGGTGGAAGTTGAACCCAGAGCTTTGTGCAGTTCTTTTGTAGTTCCTGAAAAAAATAGAAGTCATGACTATGTAGGGAAATGTGTAAGGTTCCGCTTTCTCCTGGTCACACTCCTCTGCCTCTGCTGTCTAGATGTCCCATCTCCGTCACAGTGGCCCCCGAAGGAAGAGCGGCTGGCTCTCTGGCCTGATGCCACTCGGAAGTACCAAGTTTAAATATTCTCCTTGGCCTTGTCTGCTCTGTGCATTTGAAGCAGAAATATATTTTGTTTGACCAGGTAATTCCTCACTGTTCTAAACCTGAAGCTTCTGTGGACTACAAAAGGTGAAGAAAAGGAAAGTGCCACCAAGGTTGTGAATGTGTGTGAGAGAAAGACTTTTTGGACTTGGCAGTAACTCTTAGTTAACTCAGTTGCTAGAATAAGTAGAGTCAGAAATATTTCTTTTTCATTTATTAGTTTGTTTCAATTATTCATACATTTTTTGAGGGGGTAGGGAAGTGTAGGCATAGGGCATGAGGTGTAGAACTAGCAGTACCCAGTCCTCACAAGATATGAGAAAGAACTTTATTTTATACTGGAAGATGTATACACTGATCCTATATTTTATTTTTAATTTTTGGTGCTGGGGATTGAACCTAAGGCCTCATGCATGCTAAGCATGGGCTCTACAACTGAGCCACACCTCCAGCCATAGATCCCCATGTGTTGTCCTCTTTGAGGGTATTTGGGGACCCTAGGTGCCACTCAGCTTTATTTTTCATGTGTGTTTTCTGGGGACATGCCGGGTGGGAGAGAGTAGCAATGCTGAGCTCAGCAGTCATGTCTGACCAATGTGGCCTCCTTACCTGGTCAGGCAAGGGCTGTTCAGATCAAGATGACTTTTTTTTTTTTTTGAGGTAAATCTTTTTTTTTTTTTTAACAAAAAATAAATTTTATTTTATCCCATTTCCCCTCAACCCCCCTCCCCTCCCTATGAACAGAAGCTTTGTTTCCACTTTTTTCTTCTATTTCCACTTTTTTTCTTGTCTGTTCCTTTCTCCCTCTATCTTCCCTTGTTCCCCTTCCCATTTGAAGACTTTCTTCCCATTTCTCAACCTCTCTTATACGTTTCAGTCCATATTTCCACTTTCGGTTTCTCACACCAGAGAAACAATGCAGTATTTAAAATGTGTGCTTGATTTATTTCACTTAAGAGTATGATCTCGGGGTCCATCCATTTAGCTATAAGTGTCTGAAGCTCATCTTTCTTTGTGGCACAGTAGTGCTCCATTGTAGGAAAAAAGCCCCACATCTTTATCCACTCGTCTGGTATTAGGCATTTGGGTAGTTTCCAAGATTCAGTTACTATAAACTGCTGCTATAAACATGGATGTGCATATATCGCTGTGGTAGGATGCTTTTATTTCTTTCGGGAAGATAGCTGGATGACTACTTTGAAGCGAGAGAGAGAGAGAGAGAGAGAGAGAGAGAGAGAGAGAGAGAGTGTGTGTGTGTGTGTGTGTGTGTGTGTGTGCTGCCCCCTTGAGTGCTAGGCAGTCTCTTCTTGGTGTGCCCATGTATATCTTTTATGTGAACACATTTTGAGTTATTTAAAGTGCATTTGAGCTCTGGGTATTTTTGTTTTCCAGTCCATAGCTGAGTCTGTGGCATCCTTTGTTTTTCTTGGCCTTTGCCCGAGCCTTAGTGTCTCCCTGCACACTTGCCCCAAGAAGCAAGCATTTGCCCAATAGGAACATCCACAAAGGACCCTTACACCATACTCCTATGTGGACTTGCAGTTATGTCTCCATCAGCAGGGTGTTTGTTCCCTGCTATTTTGTGTTTTGTTTGCAGAAGACAGACTTAGGACCAGTTTGAATTGGGTTAGGGTAAGCATAATGCAATAGAGAAAACAGTGTAAAAGGAGTTGGTAGTGCTGAGTTCTGGAGATACACATGTCCTTTTTCTCTAGGACTTCTGGCAAGTTACCCCCTTACTGAGGAATGGTGGGATCGGATTAGATAAGCCCCAAGGCCCTTCTCAGTTCTAACATGTCACAAAGTAGTGGACAAGGGAGCAAAACCTGACCAGCCCTATGCCGCTGTGAAGTGGTAGAGAGTGGTGACACTGCCTAGTGGGGCAGGAATTTCATTGTAATACAAACAAGGGACTGACAGTGAATTTAAAGCTTTGTAGCCCATCAGTGCACACAATCAGGTCCTCCCCCTGCTATCTAGATCTATCATGGGCCATGCCACCGCCCTCAGATTCCAGAGCACACAGTGCTGGAGTCAGGAAGGGTACCCTGACCTCGACGGAAGAGGCAGGTGAAGGCAGAGGGCTACCCTTCTTGGTGGGAGAAGTCCCAGGTGGTGATGGCTGTGTTCTGTCTTCTTCTCAGGTGAGCGATGGCAGGCGCTGGTGAGCGCAAAGGCAAGAAAGATGACAATGGCATTGGCACGGCCATTGATTTTGTGCTCTCCAATGCCCGGCTGGTGCTGGGGGTGGGTGGAGCGGCCATGCTGGGCATCGCCACGCTGGCGGTTAAGCGGGTAAGTACCTGCGGCCTGGGCCAGGGATGGGAGCAGGTGGGGCAGCATCTACAGAGGGAGCTCCTGTGGAACAGGACCTGGACGCTGCTCATGTACCTTGATTATTTGGGACCTTTGGGCAAGATGCTGAGAGAACTCAGTAGGCTTGCTTTCAGGACTCTACCCTGAAAAAGCACCGGGGATACAAGCAAACAAAAAAATGTCAAGTAACCAAAACGGCCTTTCCTGACTACTTTGTTTAGTACTGTAGATTGAACCCAGGGATGAGCTACCACTGAGCTACATCCCTTGGTCATCTTATTTTTTAATTCTGAAACAACTTTTTAAATTTTGAATGTTAGTGTCTCACTAAGTTGTCCAGGCTATCCTCAAATTTGCCTTTCTCCTGACTCAGCCTCTCAAGTAGGGAACACAGGCATTTGCCACCACACCCAGCAACTACTTTAATTTAAAATAGCAGCATCTCACCGCACATGAACTTGTATTTCCTTTTCCAACCTTATTTTTTAAAAAATGTTTATCTCTGTGTACATTAACTTGTTTATTATGTATTGTTTCTATCCCTCTAGTACACTAGAAACTCCATGAGGGTGAGGATTTGAGATTCTTAGTTGGCTGCTTTATTCTTAGCATCTAGAACAATGCCCAGCGCTTGTACCCTCTGTATCTGTGAGTTTCAAACTACACGTTCAGACATCTACTGATTGAAAGTATTTTTTAAAACATGCATCAGTACTGAACATGTATGGACTTTTTTCTTGTCATTTTTCTGAATACAGTATGGCAACTATTTCCATAGCATTTATTCTGTGGTAGATTTTGTAAGTAATCTAGAAACGACTTAAGGTATAAAGGAGGAGCTGGTGGATTGGTGCATACCTGGAATCCCAGCACTCGGGAGGCTAAGCGGGAGGATTGTAAGTTTGAGTCCCACTTGGGCAACTTAGCAAAACCCTGTCTCAAAAAATAAAAAAGGGCTGGGGGTATATAGCTCAGTAGTAGAGTGGCCTTGGGTTCAATCCTTAATACAAGCTGGGGATGTAGCTCAGTGGTTCCGTCACCTACCTTGCAAGTGCAAGGTCCTGAGTTCGATCCCTGGTACAAAAAAAGTCAGTAACAATCCTTTTTCTTTTTATTTTTTTGGTACCGGGAATTGAACTCGGGCCCTGTGCTTGCAAGGCAGGCGGCAAAACCACTGAGCTAAATCCCCGGCCAGTGACAATCCTTAATACAGGAAAAAAAAAAATACAGGAAGATGTGCCTGTGTGTAGGTTATATGTAACTGCTGAATCTTTATTAAAGGACACAGCAGCAGGTTTGGGTATCCTTGGGGTATCCTGAAAGCCCTCCCCTGGGGATACCAAGGAAACAATAATAACTGTTTACTGTTTTCAAGACCAGGCATGGTGGTATATGCCTGTAATCCCAGCACCTTGGGAGACTAAGGCAGGAAGATGGCAAGTTTAAAGCCAGCCAGGGCAACTTAGTGAGACCCTGATTCAGAATATTTAAAAATACAATAAAAAGAGTGAAGGCCCTGGATTCAGTCTCTAGTATTCCCTCCTACCCAACAGATCTAGTTTGAAAAGTACACAGGGGGGAAAAATACATGGAAAATAATAATCCTGATTATATAAATATATATTTCTAGAAAGAAATATCAGCAGTTTTCTCTGATTTGGGGACATTATGGATAAACTTTTCTTTTTTTTTTTTAGTATTTCCTGATTTTTGGCATAACGTAATGTATTCAATAGTCTAGAATAAAATAAAATTATTAAAAAACAGTACTTGAGGCTGGGAAGCACATACGAGGCCCTGGGTTCCAGGAAACAGTAGTTGAACTTACTAGAGAAGAGCTAGGGAGGAGGGAATTGGAAGGAGAGGAGGGAAGCAGGTCTGTGTCCTGTGTCCTCTCTGCCATTGCAGATGTACGATCGGGCAATCAGTGCCCCTACAAGCCCCACTCGCCTGAGCCATTCAGGGAAAAGGAGCTGGGAAGAACCAAACTGGATGGGCTCCCCACGATTGCTGAGCAGGGACATGAAGACAGGCCTGAGCCGGTCCCTGCAGACCCTCCCCACAGACTCCTCGGTCTTTGACACAGGTGAGGTGGGCTGTCAGCTCCTGGGACCCTGGACTCCAGTACCACCCTGTTGTGCAGGCATTTCCTGAGCGAATACATGCCAGGGTGTGCACGGACTGCCCTTTGCGCTAGGCCCTTCTCTCTGGGGCTGAGGCAGCTGTGGACCAAGCAAGCATGGGAAGAGCTCATGTGCTTCTCTCTCTTGCCTTGGCAGATACATTCTGCCCGCCCCGGCCCAAGCCATTGGCCAGGAAGGGCCAGGTAGACTTGAAGAAGTCACGACTCCGCATGTCCCTGCAGGAGAAACTTCTTTCTTACTACCGGAACCGGGCAGCCATCCCTGCTGGAGAGCAGGCTCGAGCCAAGCAAGCTGCCGTGGACATATGTGCTGAGCTCCGGGGCTTCCTACGGGCCAAGCTGCCTGACATGCCACTTCGGGAGATGTACTTGAGTGGCAGCCTCTATGATGACCTGCAGGTAACGAGATGCTTCTCATGAAGGCTGGGGTAGGGACTGACCAAATACAGCCCAGGAAGTCAGTGTCACGGGCTCCCAAAAGACCTGCGGTCCTGCTGCTTGTGCATCCTGTGCCTGGAAGCAGCGTGTCATTCTGCTGTGGTGTCTCCCTTACCCCTTTCCTCATTGTTCAGTCATGTCACTTTTTTCTTTTCCTTTCGAGGCAGGCAGCAGAACCATTGAGCCAAATCCCCATACCCTAGTCATGTAACTTTTAAGAAGCTGTAAGAAACCTGCTTTTTCCTGTATTCTTTTTAAAAAATTTTTTGAGGGCCGGGGATTTAGCTCAGCGGTTCGGTGGCCTGCCTTGCAAGCGCAAGGACCCGAGTTCAATCCCGGGTACAAAAAAAAAAAAAGAAAAATTTTTTTTTGAGACAGGGTCTACTGTGTAGTTCAGGCTGGCCGTGAAGTTTTGGTGATCCTTCTGCCTCAGCCTCCCAAGTTCTGGGATTATAGGTGTGTGCCACCACATCTGGCCTTCTTGTATTCTTGTCCCCATCTGTCCTGTCTGGTTTCTTCTGTGCAGAGTGCTTCAGTGACATGAAAGAATTCTTAGCTTCCATTTTTGTTGGGAGATTGCAAGATGGCAGGTTGTTGTTGGGGGGACATGTCTCTTGAGCTGAGTAAACCCCTCAAAACCTTTTCAATTCTCTCCCGGCAGGTGGTGACAGCTGACCATATCCAACTCATTGTGCCCCTCGTGTTGGAGCAGAACCTGTGGTCTTGCATCCCTGGCGAGGATACTATCATGAACATCCCTGGCTTCTTCCTGGTTCGTCGAGAGAACCCAGAGTACTTTCCTCGTGGCAGCAGTTACTGGGACCGCTGTGTAGTAGGGGGTTACCTCTCCCCAAAGACAGTGGCAGACACATTTGAGAAGGTCGTGGCTGGCTCCATCAATTGGCCAGCCATAGGGTCCCTCTTGGACTATGTGATCCGACCAGCACCACCCCCAGAGGCCCTGACGCTAGAAGTGCAGTATGAGCGGGACAAACATCTTGTCATTGACTTCCTGCCATCGGTGACCCTTGGTGACACTGTCTTGGTGGCCAGACCACACCGGCTAGCCCAGTATGACAACCTGTGGCGGCTGAGCTTGCGTCCAGCCGAGACGGCACGCCTGCGGGCTTTGGACCAGGCAGACTCGGGCTGCCGATCTCTGTGCCTCAAGATTCTCAAGGCCATATGCAAGTCCACCCCAGCTCTGGGCCACCTCACTGCCAGTCAGCTAACCAATGTCATCCTCCACTTGGCCCAGGAGGAGGCTGACTGGTCTTCAGACGTGCTGGCCGATCGTTTCCTGCAGGCGCTGAGGGGACTCATCCGCTACTTAGAGGCTGGAGTCCTGCCCAGTGCCCTGAACCCCAAGGTGAACTTATTTGCAGAGCTCACTCCTGAGGAAATCGATGAGTTGGGATACACTCTCTACTGCTCCTTGTCTGAGCCAGAGGTGCTGCTACAGACCTAAGTACAGGTGAAGGCCAAAGCAGCTGTCCGGTTCAGGCCCTGGATTCTCCGTTAGAAACATGTGGCTACATAGTTGGTGCCTCACAGGGTCCCTAGGTGCCTCCTGGTTCTTGCTGGTCATTGTCCTGGTCGCTTCATGCTGATTAGAATGTCATCTCTTTGGTTCCCTATTTTCTTACCCAGCCCTACCTATTTTTGTTACCAAACACTGTGCTCTCTACTCCCTCCTTGGTCCCAGCTGATACTTCCAGAATGAATTGGGACGATAGAGTGCTGGCCTGAGCTGTTGAGGCCACTTGGTGTTTTGTATTTTGTCCCAGTTTTCCTGCTTTGTGTGCCCTGTGCTGCCCTTTTACCCCTTCCTATTTAGTGCCTGTCTTTTCCTCTCTTCTGTTTCATGCCTTCTGTTTGGCTTTTGTCCCGGAGCATAACTACCTAATCAAGATGTTGCCTTTCAGTTAAATATCACAGAAGCACTGTGATTACAGATGTGCAAGCTCAACTCTGCAGAGTGAGCACTGAGACAGTATTTAGGGTTTCTAGGGGTGAGGCGGGTGGAATAGCTGGGTCTTTGACCGTGGTTCCTAGAAAACAAGCCCAGTCCCTCACCCCCTCAACCAACTTTTCATAAATGCCAAGAACATTTCTCCTGGGGACACTGTTACTGACTCACACAGGATAATACGATGCAGTTATTTGGAGTTTTTATTTATTAGCTGTCATCAATGAGTGCACAGGGCGGCCAGGAGCTGGTTCTTCGGGCCTAGCGGAGGGCCTGCATGCTGTCTGTATCTCATCTGTGGCTGCCATTTAGATAAAGAAGGGACAGCAGCTGCAAGGCAGCACCTCATGTGGATGCTGTTTCATCCCTTTTTTATTACCAGTAGGACAAGGCCTTGAAGGAACACAGGCTTAGCGGTAGAAGCTGAAGGAGGTGGACAGCAGGCTGTCACCTGGAAAATCCAGTTGCCACTGAGGGCCCAGTGAACATGTTTTGTCCTCTGAAAGGACTTGCCTTTCTAGCATGTTGCCTTAGAGCAAGAACAGGGCCCAGCAGCTAGCTGCGTTTCCCCTGTCTGCTGCAGCATTGGAAAGGTGTTTGCTGAGCTCTCCTGGTACCCAGAGAGGCCAAAGGGCAGGTGAATTGGCACAGCCCTCTTTCCCCATCCAGTCTGTCACCCTGCACCTGGGGAGATCGGTGCTACCCAGGAAGAGAGAGCACAGAGTGAGTCCCAGGAGGAGGAGGGTACTGCCCACGTTTTTTCTTGGTTCCTGCTGCTAAAAACTGCACTATTTATGGCAGTGCAAATGTATCCCGAGGGTGGGGAGGAGTGTTCTAATACACCATGTCTGTGTCTTGTGTTTTTCTATTTGTGGCAAAAAAGCTGACAGTTTTATTTCTGATCTGCCCATCCAGTATTTTGTTCTCATTGAGCCTTATTTTATCTATTCTTACTACCTCTCCATCAGGGAGATTGTGTGTCCTCTGCAGCTGTCTCATTCCTTTCCACTGACAGTGACACGAATGACTTCAAATAGCACCGATACCCAGCAACTCCCAGTTGAGGGCAGAGATAGATGCCTGCTCCATTTTTGTCATGGATTAGGAAGTTGAGAATAGCCTTGACTACGTTTAGAGTCTTTCTTCCTCTCTGCTAATCTGCAAGGTTCATTGTTTTATTTGGGTAAGATATCAAACAACTGGAAAGATGAAGCCAAGAGCCCTGAGAGGTGCTCCACCCCGGCTATTCCTTAGGATTAAATGGGAGCTGAAAACATCTGAGCCTCAGCGCTCCTGGGTGCTGGTGTGGAGGGCTCCAGTGACCTCTCTGGTGTCCTGGGGTGGTGGTGGTGGTGGTGGTGTTACAGCCGAGGGATTGCTGGGATAAAGGATTTAGGTTACCTGCCATGAGTATTATAAAACTCAGAAATTTCCCAATCTGTCATTTCTGACCAAATTCTATATAAAACTTTGGAAAGAGCTTAAAAAGGAAAAGCTTTAAAGAATCCCAAGATTTTACCCAGCACCAGGAGGCTAAGGCAGGAGGAGTGACCCAAGTTGGAGGTCAGCCTAGGAACATACTTGAGTTCAAAGCCAGCCTGAACTACATAGGAAGACCCTGTCTTAAAAAAAAAAAAAAAAAATTATAGAGTCCCAAATATCATAGTCAAGCACAACTGAATTTGGGAAGGGAAGAGTTTATTTTCTGTCTTTAGGGGCAGCTCTGACTTTTAGTTATGCTTCACAAAACCCAAACTGTAACTTTGTAATCTTACAAGCAAGACCCTCACTCTTAAGGCCTCAGAATTTAGCAGCAGTGGGAACTCAGCCTGAGTACTGGTGGGTTTACAGTTTTCCTCAAAAAATGTGGAAGATAGGTGGTGCTCTGAGAGGCTGGGACATCTCTCTGCCCACGTATTTCCCTTTAAAAAAGTGGACTAAGGTGCAGTACCTGCCTCACCACTCTTTCTGTTCAGTAGCTCCCACTTTTGCCTGAAGGAGTAGCAAGTGCTCCTACTTTTCTGTCTGGAGATCTTTTGGGTACCTTCTAGATTAGCAAACCACATACTTGGCCTAAAAATAATACACTCATCATTATCTTGAACACTCCATAAATTCCAAGTTTATTTTGGTTCTTCCCTGTTACCCATTCCTAAAAAACAAGTTCTGGACAGCAGGAATTTTCTTTATATGCTGGGTGTGACTTTCTGAAAAATACAGGAAAGAAACCTTGAAGCTTATGTCTGGAAGAGCTCTGCTGAGGAAACTTACTTGTCTGCGGGGCCTTAGGCCCTGGCCACCCACCTGTTCACACCTCCATTGACCTGTTTTGCTTCCTTGTCTGTTCATGTGGTTCAGGGTCAGCTTGAGGTTGGAGGGCCCTGGAGAGCCCCTGAGAGGGGTTCTGTACATAGGGGTCCCTATGTGTGTCCAGAAGCCTCTGTCATGGTACATCTTCCTTGGACTAACTTGGCTGAGAACTTCAGCTCTTGGAGGATTTGCTAGAACTCTACCCTTTCACTTGAAAGTCAAAGCCAAGGAGAATGGTCAGAAGCTTGGGCGTGGAGCTGACAATTCCTGGGCCAGGCTAGGAGGCTGTGCGCCTTTAGATGCTACTTAACTGTAAGTGGCCAGAATCCAGAGATGCGGACTCTGGACAGTTGCATCCTGGGTGCTGTTTACTTTTTCATTTTGATCACCTCATGGTTTGAACTCGTGGTCCCTGAGGCCAAGTCCACAATTTGCCTTTTAGTCACTTGTCTGCCCTTCAGTGGTGATCAGTGGGTTAGCTGGCAGATCAGAAGTCAGTCACCAGTCCCATGTCTTGTCTTGGTGAGGAGCAGTTTAGTCCTGAGACCCAGAGAACTGCTATCCTTTTTCTCCTAAGGGAGGAAATGAAACAGGAACACAATGTTCTTCCATAGCATAGGAAGAAGAAAATAAAATCTTTCCAACAACTCCGACTTTGTGTGGTATGAAACTGAAGGAGTGCTGGGTCTTCATTTTCAGCTGAGAACCTTTGAAGTGTTTGGCCTGCATCTTCACAACAGAATGGGTGGAAAAGTTGCCACCGGACTCATTCCATGACCTCTGCAGTGTCAAAATGGGCAGTGTTGGGCTGGGAATTTAGCTCAGTGGTGCCACTCCTGCTTCCCTGTCTAACAAGCACAAGGTCCTGAGTTCGATGCCTGGTACCACACACACACACACACACACACACACACACACACACACACACACTAAAGAGGCAGTGTTACTTTAATTCCAACCATATGCATGGCTGGTTGTCGGGAGCCTTTGCTAAGTCTCTAGAGCAAAAAGAGGATGTGGGCCTTCCCTCCTTCATTATTCCTTGGAAAGATACAGATTAATGGCTAAGGATTTTTACTCCTTTGACACTGAAACACTAAACAAAACAACTCTTTTTTGGGACAGGATCTTGCTCTGTAGTCCAGGCTTGGGTGCACAGTGTAGCTCAGGCTAGGCTCAAAGTCCGGCTTCCAGTGGGGGGGATTCCAGGTGTGTGCCATGTCCAGCAAGGGGTGATCTCAGCACTCACGAATCCCCCCAGGCAAGGAAAGACATCGCAGCATCCAGTGTGACTTGTGTATACCAGTTGTTTATAGCTGTTGGTTTCGTGTCAGTGAGTAAGAGTAGAGTCCTCTAAGGAAAAAGGATGATGTCATGGGGATAAAGGCAAGGGGATTGGGAGGTCAAGGTCAGAAGACCTGAGTTGTAGTAACAACTATTTATTGAGCTCTACCAGGCACTGTGCTAAGGGCTTTACGTATATGATCTCACTGCATTCCTAGGACAAGGGTACTCATCAGCCTCACTTTGCAGGCTGAGAGGACAAGTCATTTGGCTAAACGTCCCAGCTAATGACAGAGCCAGCCCTCGGTAATGATATTTATGTGACCTATTTAAATAGAAGTGGAACTTAAGGTTTCCACTTTTACAGGGCTGATGGAGGGAGCCTGAGTGTGAGGGAAGATTCTCAGGATTTCTACAGCAGCTCCACTGTGGGAGCCAACCCTCGCCACAAATGCCACATCCAGCGAGTGGGGGAGGTGCCTGGAGCTTCTCATCACTGGGCTATCACGGTGACTTGTTGGAAAGTTAGTTACTCCTGGGAGTTAACAGAATTGGCAGGGCCGGAATTGGCAGTTAATCCAAACTTGCTTGGAGAGATGCCACTTGAATAGTATCTGAACGTATACAAACCAAAGTAAATTTCCCTCTACAATAATAGGCTAGACTCCTAAATAGAACAGCAGACTCCTAAAATACGAGTATTGTGGAAATAATTCATGCTCCAAGATGGTGCGTCTTTGCTGTAGGTTCTACGGGCCTTTGGGAGTAGGTGGGGAGAGAGCTAATGATCTCCATGAATAACCTCCCTTACAACTGGGGTCCTGACCCTCTCTGGGAGACCAAGCCAGCCCACTGTGTTGCTTTGGAAAACCAACACTCGATTCGTGTAACTTCCGGGGGCCTTTCCGGATCGGGAGTCAACCCAATCCGTCCAGGTGGCAGCGGAAGACGAACTGTGGAGTTCAGGTCACTAGCACCGAGATTCCCTAAGGGTGGCAGTAAGGGACCGCAGGGGCCAGGACCTGAAGCCACGGTTAAAAGCGCGTGGGAGGTCAAAGCCTATAAGGAGGACTCCTGATTGAGACGACTACTACGGAGTAGTTTGAAACAATAGCTGCCGAACCCCGCAGCTCTATGGTGCGAACTGTACGGATAGCTCCGTTCCCTCCCGCGCGCGCCCGTGTAGTAGTAGCCCGCCCATCTCATGCCGTGAACCAATAAGTACTCGAAGTATATATGACTCACCAGGTTTGGACCAATGGGCTCGACGCGCGTTCCCCTTCAGCATCTCGCGCGATAACCATGCGGCCTTGGCCTCCGCAATGAAACCCGAGAGGAAAGACTTTCTCTCCCCGCCCTCGGAACTCACACCGGAAGCGAGGCGGCTATGACAGATCCCTCCGCGCTTCGAGGCGGAACAGGGAGGATCGCGGTTCTTTGATCCTAGGCCTCCTGTAAAATAGTGCACCTTTTTCTTTTCGTAAGACCCTGAAAATAAGCTTCTCTCGAGTCATACCTACGCCCTGGACCTAAAGGCGGAGACGGACACCAGTAGACGGACGTGAGCGAGTGGTTCGGCGGCCAGGGTCACGTGGCTGCAGCGGAAGGATGCGTCCTGTGCTGCGTCTCTGAGAGGAGTCTATAAAAGGTCGGCTGGCAACGCGGCGCGGCCATTTCTGCTCCACCTGCCCCTAGATGTAGATTATCTTGCTGTGCTTTTTCCTCCCCTCGCGCAGGTTGCGCGGCCACCATGGCGTATTAGAGGCAGTAGTGCCTGCGGCAGCGTTGGCCTTTGCAGCGGCGGCAGCAGCATCAGGCTCTGCAGCGGCAACCTCCAGCGGCTTAAGCCATGGCGTGAGTATCTGGGCCCTACCCGGCTGTGCGCCCTGCGTCGGCTGGGCTGGGTGCGGCCTGTGGCCCGGGTGCGTCGCGAGGGGAAGCGGTTTTACGAGCGCCCGGGACGCTTG